TATAAAAAAAAATGCAAAAGTACATTTTTAAATTGATTTTAAAAAAGTAACGGAAAAGTAACGAAAAGTTATTTTTCAAGTAACGGTAACTGTAACGAGTTACTTTTAAAAAGCGATAACTGTAACTAGTTACATTTTTTACTCGGTAACGAGTAACTGTAACTAGTTACTTTTAAAAAGTAACTTTCCATTCCCTGATTCTAATATTCTATATTGCGAAGAATATCACGTAATGTTTGGCGTTTCGTCCCACGTTCGAGACACGCGTATATCTCTTTATATAGAATCTCGATTTAATAACTTACACCAGCGTCTAAGGTAGGCTTCCACTACAATACCTTACTGATGAGTCCAGTAGTGGAAGCCGGGACGAAACGCCAAACATTACGTGATATTCTTCGCAATATAGAATATTAGAATATATTATCAGATTTAGATTGACTCTTATTCGCCATTCTCAACGTATTAATTATTGTTTATAAAAAGAGTCCTTTATTTCTTCAATTAATTATAAACAACTTTTCAGATAATTTTTTTACGGAAATATTTTTTGACTTAGTGGCCACCGAATGAGTGATTATGGATGAATTCTGCCGATAGGAAGTATTTAAAAATAGATGCAGAAGTTATGTATTAAATGACAGGTTAGAGAACCTTATACCTGTCATATATCTAACCTGCCATATAATTCATAACTTCTGCATTTATTTTTAAATACTTCCTAGCGGCAGATTTATCCATAACCACTTATTCGGTCGCTACTAAGTTCAAAAATATTTCTGCAAAAAAAAAATTACCTGAAAAGTTATTTGTAATTCTTAAAGATCGGCATGAAAATTTTGGACACGCTCGAGAGATATGTAAAACTTAATATTTATTACAATTTAATGAAAAGATTGTTTTATGTACTCTGCATAATATACATATAATGTGTATTATGCAGCCCGAGGACTATATTCCTATATATTCCAAAGTGTTCAATAATGGAATTTAAAAAAATTTGATTGGAATTGAAATTTTAATTCCTCGCATCCTTTTTTGTTTGCTGGGATTGCTGTAAACGATTTTCATGTTTCGAAAAACCGCGCGCACAATCACTTCCGGCTAGACTTATAAATGGCGTCCTTCCGGCCATGTGTCTTAACTCTGATTATAGTAAAGGTTGATTTATACTGGCCGTAATCTGTTAACTTATGCCGTAATCTGTAAAAATTGATCAATCACAGTCGAATGAGAGGGGAATAATCGATTATAATTGGTCAATTTTTACAGATTACGGCATAAGTTAACAGTTTACGGCCAGTATAAATCAACCTTAACTCTAGCTTGTGTGTGTGTATAGCGCCTCGCCATGGTAAAAGGCTGAACTAATAGGCGTGGAAAAGTGATGTTTTGACCAGTTTTGACAACAAAATTTTTCTTGCGTGCCATTTCGTCAATATTTGCTTATTTGTGAAAATGTGACTTCTCTCGTACTCGTGAAAGTCCTAAAAATTGCCGAAAATTGCAGTTATCGTGAAATTTTATACGTAAAAGCGTATATTTCACTCGTTTCATCAGTTGTTAAACTGTGTGATTCTGCTCGAGAACAGGCTCACTTTATGTGTCTTTTACGACCATTTACTGACTATCAGAGGAGGAAAGGACAGTTTCCGGCAATTTTCACAAGCGTTTTCGTGCGATCTCGCCTTTTAAATTTATCCAAATTGTCTTTATTAAAAAATGGGACGCAAGAAAAATTTATGTGTTTTTCTCGCCTATGACGTCACAATTCCAACATGGCCGTCGCCGGTATTTAGGAGCCTTAAAAATATGTAGAGGCCGGAGCTCTGCTTATAAATGATTGCATTGCATAGAACTCTGTGAGAATTAATGAGAACTGCCGTTGAAACTGATAGAAATAGTCAGCACGTCACTTTTTCTACAAGGGTCGTGCTGGACTCAGGTATTAAAAAATTGATTAAAAATATGTAGAGGCCGGAACTCTGTTTATAAATGATTGCATTGCATAGAACTCTGTGAGAACTAATGAGAACTGCCGTTGAAACTGATAGAAATAGTCAGCACATCACTTTTTCTAGAAGTTTTATACCATTTTCTATACAGGGTGTACCAGAAAAGACGTTTGTCCTTAAAATGACGTATTCCTGAGGTGATTTTAAGATATTTTTTCCTTTGTCAAAATTTTATCCGAAGCATAGATTTTGAATTATAAGCTAAAATAGTTAGCGAATTACGGGTCGCGTACGGAAGGCAGGCAGGGGCGGCGCAACTCACCGGTCGACGCGGACACCGGATTGCGATCAGCTGCTTGTTACGTATGAAACGCGTCGATATGATACGCGCTCTCTCTCTCTCTCTCTCTCTCTCTCTCTCTCTCTCTCTCTCT